TACAACATGCGATCGATCCAAATATGCCTGGTCCTAAAATCCAGAATCCCCTTTCCAGCACAATACAACGCCGTACACCGATATACGCCTGGTTCCAGTTCAATCAAGCGGCCCTTTGCCCCCAAACAAATACTATATACTATGTGCAGATTAGCTCGATGGGTCTTGAACAGTGTCAGGCCCCGGTGCTGGTGCTGGTGCTGTCTCCCCTGCTTTTGGCTGTGTTTCTGTTTCCTCTTTTTTTTCAAGCTCAGGATTCAAGTCAGAGATTGGAGAGAAATTTGGTGCAGTTAACTCGTGGGTTTCACTGGTTTCACTGTTCTCGATGGGTCCGGGCTGGACGTCTTCTGTACTGGCTGGTGCAGGTGGAGTCGCAATCCGGGGTGACTGGAGTTCAACCGGCTGCTGTGGTGGCAGAGGCTCATCCTCTTGGAGAGGCTGTGTCGTCTCTGGTTGAGAAGCATCGGGTCGCTCCTCTACTTGTTCCATTGACGGCTTCACCGGCGCTTCCAGGAAAGGATGCGCTACTGCTTGTTCCGTAGGCTGTGGAATCTGCTCGATAGGTGTTTCTTGCGGCAGTTCTGGGAGTGACGCTGCAGGTGCTTCTGAATTACTAGCCGGGGAAGGTTCTTTTTCTTGTGCTGAGCTCTGTTGTGGAATCTGTTCTGGCTGTGCTTCAGGTGGTTGTACTCCTTGGGGCTCTCCAAGTGGTTCTTCCACCTGCACTGGGGCCAGCTCCTCCGCTTTCGGCTCAGTCTGTTCCACGGTAGGTTCGACTAGCTGCTCAACAGAAGCTTGCGTGAATTCTTGAGTAGCAGGCTCTATTGATGGCTCTATCGGTGTCTCCGTCGGGGGCTGCATCTGCTGTTCCGTAGGGAGTTCTGTGGCTTGCTCTGCGCTGTTTTCGGTAGCAATTTCTGGGGTGTGTGTAGGTGGTTGGTCAGCCACCGGCTCAATGGGCTCTGCAGGTTGTGTTGCTGCTGGTTGCAAGGTTGGCTCAGTGTACCGGTCCATGGTGTCAACGTCTATGTCCATGGATGTAGGTTGCTCGGTAGACTCCGTACTGATATGACCAGCGTTGTGGTCAGATAGAGTTTCTGTTTGATCACCAAACTGAACCTCGCCCCCTTTCTCGACGTCAGGAGCATGTCCTAAACTTGCTTCTAAACTGTCCAAGAGACTGGAACCATTGTTCTCTACAATATCCTCAGCTGGCTGGGCGGCGAGCTGCTGTAAAGCCGGCTCGGGATACGAATCTGGCTCTGATTTGAGGATCTGTTCCGACTGGGGAGCTTGTTTTGGTTGGGCAGTTTGTTCTGACTGGGGGGTGTCTTCTAACTGATGGGTCGGTTGTGGGTGGGGAGTTTGTACTGGCTGGGCAGTCTGTTGTGGCTGGAGTGCCTGCTCTGGCTGAGGAGCTTGTTCTGGTGGCGGCATCTGTGGAAGGCTAGTCGGCGGTTCCAATTTCACATTCTCGTCCACGATGCCTACTTCGGCTACCGAGTCAGTCTGTCCCATCGAAGGAGCTTCCAATGGCTTCCCAGTTGGATCTTCACTCTTCGCGACAGGGAATGAGTCCGGTGCAGTGACCTGCGGGATGTGTTGAAGCTGTGTGGGGACTGCATCTGTGGCTGTCTCAGTCGGTGCTTCAATGATCTCGGGGGCTGTCTGCTGTTGAGTATTCAGTGTTGTCTGGGGTAGGGATGCAGCATCGTCAGCGGGGAACTCGGGGCTGACACCGGTCATCTCCACATCCTCAGCAGGTGTCACTTGTGTTGGCTTTGCGGGAGGAATGGTAGAGCTTGGTAGATCAGTACTGGGCTGAACAGGCTGGAAGGGTTGCTGTGGTGCGAATGATACAGTGGGTACTGCAGGTGGCTGTGGGAGTGCCTGCGCAGGTAATTCTGACGCGACGGCTGGAGGATTTGGAGCTGGCGGTTGTGAAGCAACCACGGCTTCAGTAGCGGGTGCAGTAGAAGTAGGAACTACTTCCGGCACGGGTCCAGATGCTGAATCAGTTGTCGGCTCTGCACTTGGTTGGTGAAGTGGGGTCTCCGGTGTCTTAGCATCCAGCATAGACTCATCGCCGTCGTCGCTTTCCTCGCCCTCCTCAGCATCTTCTTCTTCTTCTTCCTGGCCATTTTGGTCGACTGAAATCCGCGACCTATCCGCACCCTCTTTACCATAACCTGTTTCGGCGCTGCCATCGCCAGCGCCAGTGCCGGCTCCGTGTACGGCGTTTGCATCTGCTCCCTCACCAGGAGCGAACATGACCTTCTTCCTCCTTCCTTTCCCGAAGCCCTTCGCCTTACGCTTAGGAGGCGGGGGGCGCCTCTTCGGAGGAGTCATGACAGCCGCTGAGGCTGGATCTGCCACAACCACGCCTTCTGCATTGACCACGCCAACACCTTCAATAACTGTTCCAGGAGCAGGCGCCTCGGGTGTTACAATTGTTTCGCTGTTTTCTGGTACCAGTTGAGAGTCGTTGGTAATTTCCCCTTCAATCTTATGCCCTTCCGGCACCCAGGCCTCGTAGACAGAGATGTTTCCACTGTTCGGGTCAACCTTCTTGAAGCGGGTCCTCCTCATTGGCGCAGACCCATTCTCAGCGCCATTGGCACCGGCAGTTGTAGCACCATATAATGACGGCAAGCCCGGTCGTCTCTTAGCAAGAAATTCGACCTCTGAGTTCTCCAAGTGCCTGGGGACCGTGCTCCACTTGCGCGTAACAAAGCTACGCTCCGTAGTCTGCAAGGCCGGCTGTTCTTCCACATCTGTAACCTCCTTTTCTTCATCCTCTGCATCTTTTGTGGCTTTGCGAATATATATGCACCCTGCACGGGCCGCACGGAGGAGCGCTCTACTCATCGGGGTTAATAGATGGCTGTCTTTGGGCATTGGGTGTTCTGGAATCGTTTGCTTTCCGCCAGGGCCTTCTACAAATGATTCCTGTCCGTCCAGCTTGGGGGTTTGGGAGACGGTCTGTAGCTGGCGCGTCCATCGTCGAACCGGAAGTCCTTCGAAGACATCGTGGTCGATCTGGCCGGTTCTAGTGCGGTTGGCGCCATCACCGAATTGACGACCGGAGCGTGAAGATCTGAACTATGAAGTTGTCAGTACAGTGGTCATCCCTGATATATGGTCTCCGCCCATGTTGCATATGACGAAGATTCGGGTAGCCGATAGCGATGTCACCGCGGAGAAACCTACAGTAGGTGGCATGATGAACAACGGTTTTGCGATCTTCCCTCCGCAACGCGATAAAGAAGAGACGTGCCAAACACCCCAGTATCGCTAACTATGCGAATGAAGCAAAGAGGCGGAGCTAATGAAAGAGATCGTTGGCTAATGAGCCCAACTGGGAAGGGTTGTCGGGGTCTCTGTCGCGATGCGATGGAGTCGCGGGAAAGGGAACGATATCATCACGTGACACAAACTACAATAGACTCACATTGGCAACACCTCTACATTATTATCTGCATGACAAGCAGGATGAGAGAAGAATCGGCGTTCTGATGATAAGAGACTGCGCTACCTACAATGTAACTGTTCCATTAATAATACAAGAAACACCTCAAGTCTATTGGATCGATCACATCATCCTTGGTCCCCATCGGAATGGAAAATCAAGCCTCTTTCCGAACCTCCTGTGGTGTGTCAACCGCTTATTCATTCGTGATCCTTTGGTTCCAATTAATCCCAACTGTAGCGTATATTAGTATACTTGTAATACGAGAGCTTCACACTCATCTTACCCAGTATCCTTCTGACGAACAATATCCCCTTCTTTTCCAGTTTGCTTGCCCTGTAGAAGTTCGTGAGCTCCACGTCCGGCGGGCTACTGGCGATATCTCAATGAGCGCTACTAACCGTCTTCTGGCCTTCAACAACCAGCCTGTCCATTTGATAGAACTGACTGATGACGGTTTGCCTCTAAGATATGTGTCAGCGATTCCGGAGTACAAAGCCGCATCACAACATTCGGTAGGGTATCTGAACGCTGTCGCAAGAAAGATATCCATGACTGACCTTCATCATGCGCAGATTCTGTAAACCATCCTGGATCAACTCTTGTATCCTCCTATCCTCCGTCTCAAGTTGGTGTTCACGGAAAGCATCCCTCGTCCGCCGACGGGCGTACTCGCGGAAGTTGTAATTGGAGAACTGGGACGACTGACGGAGCAAGGAGCGAAACTATACCCAAAATCAATCGAAAAGGTCAGTTCAACCCCGCCACAATAGGGGAATAGTTCTGGAGTACATACCAAGGATCGCACCTGGAAGGCAGTGTCCCGTTGTAATGCAGGTACAGACATGATGACTGGCTTGAAAGCGCTAAGAGCGGAGGGAAAAAAACCACAACAGTTAAGCTGTACGTATAGCAACAGTAGCGAGCACAGAAGCGAGGATCGCAAGCTCAATCGGATAGTGTTCGGTAGATCCTAAGACGTATTTGTCTTCGGCTTTAGCGTCTCAAGCCGCTAACCCGGAGGCTTAACACTCGGGGTTTTGGAAAGGGGATAAATTCGATTGTTGACCACAATACGATCAACCAGGAATTTATCAAGGCAACGATAACGAAATGATAATATCAATTCCAAGAAGCTATTCACAAGGTGTTGAGCACCATGAACACCGCAACCGGAGGTGGCGTTGAGAGGAAAGTCACACTTTCCGCGGGAAATGAAAGTCGGATAGCTCCTATTCAGGGCTTGGAGAGTGCACTCGTACCACCAGACGAAGATGAGTAAATCAGGAGTCACTTCCTGATATGGGGGGTCGATAAACGGTAGAAGTGATGAATGACTTGTTCGCGGGAAATTCTTTTGGTTTTCCCGGAGGCGCGATGACGGAGTTATCGGACTCCTCGGCCGATCCCCATAAATTTGGAGAAGCGACTCGGAGATCATCTAAAGCTTCCCTCTTGCGTAATTGACAACCTCGCGTCGGTTCCTGTCAAGTCGGGCCCTTTCTGGTCCCTATCTCATCTTGTTCCCCTAATGGCGCAAATTCCCACTCCTCCTGCGTCTCGCCATGGTTCGGAATCACCCGAAACCGAGCACAAACAGCCTCCGGGAGTTGACTCTTCAGGCTTATTGCGGTCGCTGGACGCTCTTCTCGAACGGTATCTCCATCTCTTAGATCGTCATCAGAAATTACAAGCCGAACTTGCCACAACTCTATCTTCGGTACAACAACCTTGGAAACACAAGGCTCAACAAGGACAAATCGCTAATACCAGACTAGGGGTTTCTCTCACTCGCTCAAGCCAACTACACTTGCCCCCCAGGCCGGAGATATGGAGCAGACTACTACGATGAACGTATGAAAGCAACAAGAAGGGTGTAAGTTGGAGCTGTGCCTTGCGCGATTTGTGTCGGTTTTCAGGGCGTTCAACGCTAATGAACGAGGTGTCATCAGGGAACTAGAACTCCCTCCATCCTCGACCAAAGATGTCGAGGCATCTAGTGTGGGTGAATCGTCCGATGAATTTACCAAGCGTGGCGACTATGGTCGCATCTTTACTATAAAACAAGCTACAGGTGGTAGTGCAGAGGAACCCTCTGAGTGGATTGGAGGAGAGAGCCAATCTCACTCGAGTAATGCGTCCACACTGGAATGTGAGGGTCCTGAGAGGAAGCGTGACCCTAAGGCTGGGGATTCCACAACATCATCGGATAACCCTGGGGCGCAAGAGCCGGCAGAGACAAAGCTAGATCTTCGGGGAAGAAGCCCCGTTCTTCCGACCCCATTAGATGGTACGGAATCTTGGTGCCACCTTTTCTCCGTAGTGCTCAAAAATCTTTCACGGAGGCTGTAGGGGGTCCCTTGCCTGAGCTGGCGAGTGTGATGGTCGAGATGCAGGCTGTGGAAAAGGAAGTGAAACGTGTGCGCGAGAAGATAGACCAAGCATGATTATTAATGCGTC